GGAAGTGTCTCTCCAGTGATTAAAGATCCTAAACACCTTGTCTACTTCTATGGTAAGAGCCAGAGATACAACTCCATAGGTATCAGTGATAATGAGATCTGACTTTCCAATCAGTAAGGCATGAATGGGACTATTTGGAAGCAGAGTGTTTTTTTTTTTAATGGATGCTTTATTTACATTTCCTATGTTGTCCCCTTACCCCATCCCCCACCCACCCCGGAACCCCAAATCCCCTCACCCCTCCTCCTTCTTCTCTGTGGATGTAACCTCTATCTATTCCCCCCCACTCCCACCTCCCCACCCTCAAAATTCCCACCCCCTGGGGCATCCAGCCTTCATGAGGTCAAGGTTCTCTTCTTCCACCTATGCCCAGCAGGGCCCTCCACTCTTACATATTCAGTTGAAGCCCTGGATTCCCCCCCTAAGTGCTCCCAGGCTGGTGGTTTAGACCCTGGGAGCTGTGGTTGGTTGGTATTATTGTTCTCCTCATGGTGCCGCAAATCCTTTCAGCTCCTTCAGTCTTCACTCTAACTCCTCTATTGAGAAACCCATGATCAGTTCAATGGCTAGTTGTGAGCATCTGCCTCTGAATATGTCAGACTCTTGAAGACCTCTGAGGAGACATCCATATCAGGCTCTTATCAGCATGCACTTCCTGTCTTCCACATCAGCATCTACCTTTGGTGACTGTACATGGGCTGGATACTCAGGTGGAAAGGTCTTCAGACGGCCCCTCCTTCAGTTTTTGTCCCTCGCTTTGTCTCCATATTTGCTCCCTTGAGTATTTTGTTGCTCCTTCTAAGAAGGACCGAATCACCCCCACTTGGTCTTCCTTCTTTATGGACTTCATGTGGCCTGTGAGTTGCATCTTGGGCATTTCAAGGTTCTGGGCTAATATCCAATAATCAGTGAGTGAATACCATGTGTGTTCTTTTGTGATTGGCTTACCTCACTCAGGATGATAATTTCTAGTTCCATCCATTTACCTAGGAACCTCTCGAATTCATTGTTTTTAATAGCTGAGTAATACTCCATTGTGTAAATATACCACATTTTTTGAATCCATTCCTCAGTTGAAGGACATCTGGGTTCTTTCCAGCTCCTGGCTATTATAAATAAGGCTGCTATGAACATAGTTGAGCATATGTCCTTATTATATGTTCGAGCATCTTCTGGGTATATGCCTAGGAGTGGTATAGCTGGATCCTCGGGTAATGCTATGTCCAATTTTCTGAGGAACCGCCAGACTGATTTCCAAAGTGGTTGCACCATCTTGCAGTCCCACCAACAATGGAGGAGTGTTCCTCTTTCTCCACACCCTCGCCAGCATCTACTATCACCTGAGTTTTTAATCTTAGCCATTATGACTGGTGTGAGATGGAATCCTACCTGTGATGTCCTAAGAAGTATAATCTGTACTAAATAGGGAAATGCAATGATAGAAAGGAGAGGCATAGAACAAGGGACACAGAGATAAGAAGCCAAATGTGAAGAATTTATATAGTCCAAGGGGATAAAGCATTAACCACCCTGACATGGTGACTTAAATCAATCCCATGATACTCTAAACATCTGTCCATTTAATCTCTTGTTGATTTATAATAGGTACATTTAAGGAGCTTTCCAAGATGAGGAATAGGTATGCAAATGAATGTATACAGAACTCACAATAAAGTCTTCCAGTAAAATTTAAATGACAAAAACCTTCATTTTGCTTAGAGAATGGACAAACTGCCAAGAAAACATAGATGCCAAGGAAATGTATAGAAAGTAATTGCTGATCAGATGTGAAATGCTTTGAAGTCTGATTGTTCTTTCTGATGATGACAAATGAGAATGCTTGTGTTTCCACCACAGTCATACACACCCTTATTGAATTACAGGAAAATTTGTTATTTGCTGCAAAATAGCCAATGATTATTACATCAGCATCTGTGAATATATGCAGGGTAGGGTATGAGTATACCACAATTCATATAATGACATCAAGAAGGAGAGTTATCTAGTGACCTTCTGTTCTAGGAGGCCCATTATACAACAAAGGCAAATGAAAAGAGACTGCGATGGACTGTATTTAGTGGCTAGAATCCTTAATGAGGAAGCCAAATCTTCAGTCCTCCTAGTAAATGGGCCTTCAAAGTCTTTCGTAAACAATAAAGGTTCTCAGTAAGTATCTGGGACAGTTCCTTAATAACTGAATTATTGGATAAGGCATTTAACTGGGAATGAGCATCTTATGTAATGGTGAGATACAAATACTTCATGCCAGCAGGCTGTAAAGTATCAATCTTAACTTGATCATGGAAGTACATCAATAACATAATTTGGGTTGTGGTACTATGCCAACATATCTTCATTTAAGAGCAAAGCAAACAGATTATGGATTATGCATATCTACATAAATCACAGCTTATTTCTCTTGGTTTCTTTCAATCAGTAAAATAAAAAATAAATTCTTGACTAATTGGCTGTATAAACACATGATTAGAGTATCAATAATCAGTTCACTTAGGACTTCAGTGTCATGTTTGTTGCAGATGTTTGTTTGTTTGAGTATAGCAAACAGGACATATGCAGAACATAGAAAAAGAATTTTAGTGCAATGAATAATATCTACATATTAGAGATAGAAAACATTCTTTACTCTTAACTATTTAACAATTTTTAAAAATTTTTTTGTGTGTATGGTGTTTTTTTCTTATTTTCTTGTAGGTATGTCTAAGTGCAAGATAGACTATAGGCCAAAGTAGGCCAGAAGTTGATATCAGATTTCCTGGGACCTAATTTACAGATGGTGTTAAGCCATCAGTCCTTACATGTAAATACTGTGACATCTTTCTAGCCAGTAGACAACATTACTTCCCATCTGACTATCTCTTTTGTGTCTATATTTTGAGAGCTTACATTTCCATCATCCTCACTCTAATCACTCTATCTCAGAACTTGTTATGGTTATCCAGGCAAAACTTTGGTTCAGTTGTTTCTTCAGTTCTATCTCCATAATTCTTGCACATTGCCTTTCTTCCCTACAATTCTACATTATGGCTTAAGTTGATGTTTCTTCCATTTTCATGATGTATCCTTAATCATTATACATCAAAGTGTAACTATTCAGAAGCAGAATATTTACATAATAATTAAAGTTCTATAAGACCCTAAAGGTAGTCTCTAATGAAGTATAGGTGATGTTCTTCTACAAAAAAAAAAAAAAACCTCAGCTATTGACACAAACAGAGAAGACCATGTGAGAACACATGAAGGTAATAATCATATATATGCCAATTAAAAAACGTTCTAGAAGAGTATAATATCTTCATTTTTGGTTTCCAATATCCAGAACTGTCACAAGAATAATCACTATGATGTAAGAAAAGAGTATATTGTGTTTTCTAATTCTAACCTTAGGAAATGAATCTACTTAGCTTTAGTTCAGCAATTTTTACCTCTCTGAAATCCACAAATTAGTTGAATTACCAGAGAGTTTTGAACACCTTGACCATGTGATGAATATGTGGTTCAATTGGTGTTCTGTCACACTTTAAGCATGTATAACACAAATATGTACTTAGTCACACAAAGTGAACCAATAAGAGACAAAATTAATGATCACATAGAAGTCTAAAATTGCTGATCCAATGAGTTGGCTGGGGTTACTTTCAGGAAAATGAATTCATTTCATGTCTCTTAATTTGGAGTAATAAAATCTTTTCGACTAACTTAAACATCATATGTAGTTTTTACAAAATGTAAGAAGATTAAGGAAAGGCTATAGATGTATACCAAAATCTATTAAGTCTCATACTCTATCCCATATAACACTAAATATGCAGGCATGGTGATACATTGTACTAAGCACTGAGAGTTTCATCTCAAGCAAGAACAATGGAAGAGATTACTTAAAGATAGAGATGGGATTCACTGACTTTCTGCCTTTGCAAAAACATTATCAAAATTTTCAAACAGTGATAATAACTGCTGAAGATTCTCTTGAAGTCTAGATTCAAACCAATGCCTTATATTAAGAGAAATATGATCTATAAAATATGCAGAAGCAGAGAGACTATGTGCCAACCTAGGTCCGAGATGTGAATATCATAAGAGTTTCTGCATTATGATATTATGGGCAGAATTAGATTTAAACCTGATATGAGCTCAGCAAGAAGTTGGATATTAGATTATTTGTTACTTTGTCTTGGTAGTTGTTTCTTAAATTCCCTTTGCCATTAAGCCCCTTTGAAGTCACAGTTGAACTCTTCCTCATGATTATCTAAAATATTAAGGAAAACTTTAGCACTGTGAATGTAACATGTGCTTCATAATCTTTATAAAAAAATTCTCTTTGAAACTCACAATGTAGAAAGTATTAGAATCATTGGGTCAATCAAAATTTTAAAGATTTTGTGGGCTTCATTGAGCAGTTTTTTTCTTATAACACAGTTCAGCTAGAAGGATAATTAATTGAAAAACAGACCAACAGACACAAATGAATGCCACAACAAAAGTAACAATATTACAGCTAGAATTAAAAAAAAACCCACCATCTACAGTCTTTAGTAAACAAACTTCAATACACCTATGTCCTTCTTAATGATTTGTTTGTAAATAAACCCACTTAAAGTGTTTGCATCTCTTTATTGAATTTTCTTCTTTGAGAAGAAAGAACTGATAGCCTTAGTCAAGGGAGAATCTAGTCAGTCCACTGCTGTGTTCCTCATGATAAACTCATGCCTACCCACATTCTGTTTCCTGTCCACCCACAGCTCAATATCAGTAGTGAAGAATGGGAGCTTATGATCCCTTTTGTAGTTAGTCTGAGAAGTAATATTACTTTTTCATAATCTGTAGACATAAGCTTTCCATAAGGAACATTCAGCAAAGAACCAGATTTACTCTTTTACCCTTATAATGTAGAAGATGATGTTGGATCTGAGTAACAGTGATATAAATTGTACCCACATCTGAGAATCTCTCATTGTTGAAGTGTTTCAGGTGCTGACAAGATGGAAGCCAACTTCGCCATCCCTCCTAATGGATCGGAAGTGTTGTTCTATGAATCTACCAGCTCCACAGTTCTATGGATCATCTCTGTCATAGTCCTCTCCATAACTTTTATCCTCGGTGTGCTAGGTAATGGGCTTGTGATTTGGGTGGCTGGGTTCCAGATGATCCACACTGTGACCACCATCTGTTATATGAACCTGGCTTTGAGTGACTTCTCTTTCATGGCTACACTACCATTCCACATCATCTCAATGATCATGGGAGGAAAATGGCTTTTTGGTTGGTTCCTTTGCAAATTTGTTCACAGCATTGTACACATAAATCTTTTTGTAAGTGTGTTCCTGATCACTCTCATTGCCACAGATCGGTGTCTTTGTGTCTTGCATCCAGTATGGTCTCAGAATCACCGAACTGTGAGTCTGGCCAGGAAACTGGTTGTTGGAGTTTGGATATTTGCTCTGCTGCTTACCTTGCCACATTTTCTCTTCTTGACAACAGTGAGAGATGTAAGAGGAGACATGTACTGTTCATGTAACTTTGAGTACTGGGTTGCAAACCCTGAGGAACAGTTGAAAGTGTCTGTTATTGTTACAACAGCTTCAGGAATCATGAATTTCATTATTGCATTCAGCATGCCCATGTCTTTCATTGCTATCTGCTATGGACTCATGGCTGCCAAGATCTGTAGAAGCAGTATTGTGAGTTACACCCGTCCCTTACGTGTCCTCACATCTGTAGCGGCTTCCTTTTTTGTCTGTTGGTTTCCTTTTCAATTGATTATGCTTTTAGGAAACATCTGGAAAAAGGAGACACCAGAAGGCCTTCACATATTGGTCAACCCAGCAAGCACCCTGGCCACCTTCAATAGCTGTCTCAACCCAATACTCTATGTATTCCAGGGTCAAGACTTCAGAGACAAACTGATCCATTCTCTGTCTTCCAGTCTAGAGAGGGCACTGAGGGAAGAGTAGTCTCTCTGAGGGAAGTGTCATCCCTCGGCAATTGTTGCAGTTTCATTTTTTTGCTATCAATAGTAATGCTAAGTGCATGCCTCCAACACTGGTTGTCCCAGAGATGAGAGAGTGCAGATATAAGACTCTAAGTGACCATGTTCTAAAGTTGTTTCTGTTGGTAAATAAAGATGCCAACAGCTAATTGCTGGTTAGAAGGGACATAGGTAGGGTTTAGGATTTCTGGACTTGGGGCTAGAAGAGAACCAGGAGGGGGAGAAGAGTTCATCAGGAGGAAGGAGAAGCTGCCATGTGTAAGGAGTCAATAGAACATTGTCTTATGGGCTGGCCAATTGGATGTAAGAGCAGCCCGATAAAATATAGTAATACTTCAGAGTTATCAATAGAGTAATAGATTCTAACAGCATGGTGAGTAGTACCTACTCAGCTTTTGTGTTGTTTAAGTTTTATTTTAAATATAAAGTTTGTGTTTCTTTCATTGGGAACATAAATAACAAAGACAGAATGGAAAAAGGGTGGGATTAAACAAATTTTGACAAGCTATGACTAAGGAATGGCAGTTTCCTTAGAGGTTATGTGAATGTTTTCGGTGCCACCCTAGTCTCACTTTCCTTTTCATGCTTCCTTGTATGACTGTTTTCTGAGTATAAATCTGGTAAAAAAATTCTTTGTCCTTTAGTTTGGGAGAAAGAAATATAAGTGAAAATTAATATCACTGTTCTTTTGAGAATTTTTCAACTGAGCCTGTAGCCTGGGCTAAAACTATGGTGACAAAACAGTGTAAGAGGCAAAACACATGGGTATTTGAAAGGATTATACATAATAATATATTAGTAACAAAATTTCTTATTTTATTAAGAAATAAACCTTTGATGGCCATGTGGTGCAGGCCTCTAATCCTAGTACTTGAGACGTATATAAAACAGAATCATATCAGGGCCAGGTTATGTAGAGAATTTCAGAATTTAAGTCAACCTGGACCATATGACACCAAGACTGAGATTAACAAGGTGTTTTGCACAAAGAGGAAAAATGTTATATCATTGCTAGAAAATGGGTAAGATTATTTATCAGCATAATATGAACAATGTCATTATCAGAAGGAAATAAATTGCATGTTTTTATTTCTTATTTGTGAATCACTAGATTTTTATATTGATATAGAAAATTTTGTATTTTTACATTTGTATATATATGTGTGTAACTGGGTATGAGATATGAAAGTACATTAAAACTGTCTAAGTTAAACTGTTAACTGATCAAACAGGCATGAGAGGAACAGGAGAGATGCAAGAAATGGGGGAGAATATGTAATGGGTAGTTTTCATTGTCAACTAGGCACCATCCAAAATTATGTGGAAGAAAAGTCTTCAGAAGAAAATTTCTAGATTTGGTTGGTTCATGGGGGCTTTTGTATGGGACTTGACATCAATTGAGGTTGAAAAACTTCCATTTTGTGTGTCCAACACATTCTCAGGCATGGGTTGAATTATGAATTATGCAAGATTGCATCTCTTTTCTCCCTTAAGGTACTTTATGAGAGTGTTTTTTACTATAGAAGTAGGAAATGAATTTTGAATACAAATTCTACTGAGAGTATGTCCTTGCTATGACAAATCTGTTCCTGCTGTGGTAAATATAACTTTTATGTATTTGTAATTTTTTTATTACTTTTCTTTCTCTACCTTCCAGCCATTATTCCACTTCTAGTCCACCCTCCACCAGTTCCTCATTCCATTCCTCTTTCCTCCTGTCTCCAAGAGTATATCCCCAAGCCCCACTAGGTCTCTCTATTCCCTGAGGCCTCAATTCTCTCAATGTTTAGGTGCATCTTCTCTCACTGAGGCCAGAACATGCAATCCTCTGCTGTATATGTGTCAGGGGCCTCTTATCAGCTAGTGTATGCTGCCTGGTTGGTAGCTCAGTATCTGAGATATCTCAGGGGTCCAGGTGTGTTGAGACTGCTGGTCTTCCTATGGGGTCATCCTCCTTCTTAGCCTCTCCATCCTTTCCCTAATTCAACAACTGGGGACTCCATTGGTTTGGTGTAAGTAAATTCTTCTGTCTCAGTCAGCTGCTTGTTGGGCCCCACAGAGACAGCCATGCTAGGCTCCTGTCAGTAAGCACACCATAGCATCAATAATATTATTAGCCCTGGAGCCTTCCTTGAGATGGATCCCAAGATGGGTTGATCACTGGAATTCTTTTTCCTCAGTCTCTTCTCCATTTTTGTCCCTGTAGTTTTTTTTAGAAGGGAAAAATTCTGGATCAGAGTTTTTGACTGTTGGATGGCAACCTCATCTCTCCACTTGATGCTCTGTCTTCTACTGGAGGTGGACTCTACAAGTTTCTTCTCTCCACTTTAGAGAATTTCATTTAAGGTCCCTCCCTTTGAGTCTTCAGGGTCTCTCACCTCCCAGGACTCTGGTACATCCTAGATGGTCTGCTTACCCTCCATCCCCTGGTGTTGAATATTTCCATTCATTCTTCTGATCCTTAGGACATATCTCCTGTCTCTCCCACATCTGATCATGTTCACCTTTTCCCCTCCCATTCCTCTCTCCCATCTAGGTGTCTTCCTCACTCTGCCCCACCCTGATTGCTTTTTTCTCCCTCTCAAGTTGGATTAAAGCATCTTCACTTGGGCCCTTCACTTGGGTTCTGTGGATTGTATCTCATGTAATCTGTATGTTTTGGACTAATATCCACATATTAGTGACTACATGTATGTATTTTAAGTCTGAATTACCTTACTTAGGATGATATTTTCTAGTTCCATCCATTTGCCTGCAAAACTCATGATGTCCTCATTCTTAACAGCTGAATAGTTTTCTATTGTGTAAATGAACAAATTTTCTGTATCCACTCTTCTGTTGTGGGACATCTGGGTTGTTTCTAGCTTCTGGGTATCACCAATAAGGCTGCTATGAACATAGTGGAACATGTGCTTCTGTGGTATGGTGGGGCATCTTTTGAATTTATGCCCAAGAGTGGTATAGCTAGGTCTTCAGGTAGATCTATTTTCAATTTTCTGAGGAACCTCCAGATTTATTTCCAAAGTGGTTGTACCAGTTTGCAATCCCACCAGCAATGAAGGGGTATTCCTCTTTCTACACATCCTTGACAACATGTGCTGTCACTTGAATATTTTTTATCTTAGTCATTCTGATTTGTTTAAGGTAGAATCTCAGAGTCATTTTGATTTGCATTTCCCTGATGACCAAGACTTTGAACATTTCTTTTAAGTTCTTCTAGGCCATTCAAGATTCTTCTTTGTGAATTCTTTGTTTAGCTCTATACCCCATTTTTTATGATTGAGTTGCTTGGTTTCTTGGAGGTTACCTATTAGAGATCTTTATCTATACATCGGATATTAGCCCTTTTTCAGATGTTGGCTTAGTGAAGACTTTCCCCCCAATCTTTAGGTTGCCAATTTGTCCTATTGACTATGTCTTTAGCCTTATAGAAGCTTTTCAGTATTACGAGTTCCCATTTGTCAATTGTTGATCTTAGAGCATGAGCCATTGGTTTTCTGATCAGGAAAGTTTCCCCTGTGCTGATGTGTTTGAGGCTCTTTTCCACTTTCTCATCTGTTAGACTCAGAGTACCTTATGTTATACGGAGGTCCTTGATCCCTTCGAACTTGAGTTTTGTACAAGGAAATAAAAATGGATGAATATTCAATTTTCTACATGCAGACTACTAGTTAGACCAGCATCATTTGTTGAAAATGCTTTTCTTTTTTCCATTGTATGGATTTGGCTTCTTTGTTGAAGACCAAGTGCCTATAGTAGTGTGGATTCATTTCTGGGTCTTCAATTCTATTCCATTGATCTATCTGCCTCAATCTGTACCAATATCATGCTGTTTTTATCACTATTTCTCTGTTGTACTGCTTGAGGTCAGGGATGGTTACTCCTCCAGAAGTTCTCTTATTGTTGACAATAGCTTTTGCTATTCTGTTTTTTTTTTTTGGGTATTTCAGATGAATTTGAGATTTGCTCTTTCTATCTCTGTGAAGAACTGAGTTGGAATTTTGATGTCCCCATGAAAATCTGTAGATTGCTTTTGGTAAAATGGCCATTTTTATTATGTTAGTCCTGCCAATCCATGAGCATGAGAGATCTTTCCATCTTCTAAGCTCTTTTTCAATTTCTTTCTTCAGAGACTTGTAGTTCTTATCATACTGAGCTCCCACTTGCTTGGTTAGAGTTATGGCAAGATGCTTTTTATTATTTCTTACTATTATGAAAGAGATTGTCTTCCTAATTTTGTTCCCAGCCCATTTATCCTTTGAATAAAGGGAGGCTACTGATTTGTTTGAGTTAGTTTTATGTTCAGTCACTTTGTTGAAGTTGTTTATCAGGTGTAGAAATTCTCTGTTAGAATTTTTGGAGTATGTTATATATACTACTATGTCATCCACAAATAGTATATCTTGACTTCTTTTTTCAAAAATTTTATCCCTTTGACCTACTTTTGTTCTCTAATTTTTCTAGCTAGAACTTTCAGTGTTATATTGAATAAACAAGGAGAGATTGGGCAGCCTTGATTTCAGCCCTGAGTTTGACTATTTCCCAACATGGTCAAAGTGTGAGGTAAGAATATATTTAAAACTTAACTATTATTCACACCTCTATTCTCAAGACTGCCTCCTCATCCTCATTATGATGAGGGTAATTGTTAGGGTCAGGGTAAGATCAATAAAAAAATGATAGTATCTTGTCTGTGATGCTGAGGAGACCAGGACAAGGGAATTGCTGACTCACTTATTAACTCTTTTCTTTATTTGAGGAACAGATCATTGCATGGGACTCAGGAAGTTTTCATGTATTCTAATTAACTCAGCACTTAGTAATCCCTAGGATCCTGTAACTTTTCCAGGAACTAAGTTCCAACTTGTTCAGAGTCAAATCATGGTCCCTTTACACAAGGTGTCAGTGCTAAGCAGGTGACAAGGTAATTGTAACACTGGTGCCAATGTAAATTTAGGGATCTTC